AAATGGGAATAGCTAATTTCCATTAGAATTGTCTAAAAAACATATCAGTAGCTAAAGACACACTTTAGAAGGCCACAGTTTGGCACCTGAAAGGTAAGAAAACAAATTCAAATTTGAAAGAATTCATACCAGCATGTGTTCACATTTAAAAGCCATAACTTGTTATGTTAGTAAAGAAGCTTTTAAAAACTCCAGGTGTACAGTTTGATTTGAAACACGGCACAGAAAACTCAGTATGTTACAAATTTTCTCGTCATTATCAAAGAGACGTAGAGGCACAAAATATGAGAAACAGCTTATGATTATCATTCGGCTAAGTTTGCGCTTGGAAGGAAGTAGAGTGACAAGGCTTCGTTTTGACGATAATAGTGATTCTTCTTTCAAATTTAGCAGGCAGGTGTAATATCTTTAGTTGGAATTTAAACAAGTAAATTTAAAGGTGATCTATCATTAGATATAATTTCCTTTTGCTCTGCGGATATTTATTTTACCGCTCGGAACAGAAAAAAATAAGAAAAAAGGAAACAATCAAGAAAAAGGCGAGCAACTCGAAAACAAAACGAAAGCGAAAAAAGCTGAGCGAGATAAACTGAGCCGCTTTCTTTCAAAAGGACCTTTCAAAATATTTGTTCTTCATAGTGATCAATTAAGAAGCTAATTTGAATAATTGTTATAATCGTAGGTAAATGCATATGTATTTAATTTAAAGAAAAGGTTGCCAGTTTTGCACTGATCACAGTCAGAAAAATGTTTGCTAGATTTTAGTAGCGATTTCTTGGGAAATATGGAAGGATCGAGGGTTAATTAGATCAAGCAGACGAAGCAGTTTCTAAACAATGAGGAACCAGCGTCATTTCGGTGGGATTTTTAGTGGTTTTAAGTTAATTCCATCCTGAAAAGATGGCTTTATTCTCTTCCTCTTACCTAGCCTGTGGTTGAGAATGATTCAGCAAAAAAGGTTCTCAGAGGCAGATGACCACTGCTCTTCAGTTCATTAACATCTAATGAGACTTAATTGAGATGTATAAATCACGATGCGTCGGAGGTTTTTCAAGCGGATTCTGTATTTTTGACCGCATTTTTCAAATGCCAACACGGTCACAGAGTGGTCGACCCGAGAATATGATAGCGGAGAGGCAGGATGCTTAGCTTGTCACATACGAACTTAGTAAAGGCGCGGGGTACTGGGATCTTTTGTAATGACCCATGCTCGTGTCATCTCTAGCTCGCGCTTCTGTCAAAGGAATCAAGTTGATACATGAGCTGGTAACTAAGTAAAAAGGACGAAAGTAGAAAAAAGAAGAAGAAGAAAGAAAAATTCTGTGGGGGGGTGGGGGGGCAATTATTAATCATACCTCGATGTAACGAACATTTTGGTTCTTGTTCCTGCAAATTCGTTAAATCGAGGTTTTCGATATAACGAACCCTCGTTTTGCGGTTTAATTTCTTTTAGGAGACCCAGGTCTTTAATTTGTCCCGTGCTTGTGACATAATGAATTCAATATATTCCTGATCTGCTCGACAGAAGACAAATTCTCCTGCTTCTTTTTGTATTTGAAGATATATTTGGAGCCAGTTAAAGTTTTTACTGTATTGAGGCATTTTGTATTAACTTACACGTTTTGTTATAATGGTTGCGGCATCTTTTCATTAACTTATGGATTTGATCATAAGTATCGAGGCGGTGTGTTTTAAAAAAACATTCCAAGGTACTATGGAATCCATAATGAGGAGAGAAGAGGAACTTACACTGTAGCTGTTCCAGGCGCATTGAAGGTTACTTTGGGCAACGATCGACAATAGTGTTGCAATGTTAATTAAGAGGGAAAAACTTATCTTGACAGCACGCGAGCGTCAGGAAGAAAGCAAAGTACTACAACTGAAAGCTGAAAGAACGAAATATGGACCGGGAAATACCTCGTAACTCTTTTACAACAGAGTATATACATACGAGGAGACGTCAAAGTTCGCAATTTGCAATAGTTTACATACTAAAATAGTAAGGCAGGTCGAATTCAACACTTTTGCCCTTTAGTTTTTTTTTATTCTTAATACAGAATCTGAAGGTGAAATGTTAGGTAAAATCCGACCGAATTGTGGATCATAAAGCGTACAAGTTATCTCATATGACTATAAGAAAACAAACTGCTCAAGGCGTGAGTTTTGAACGACGGCCTAATTTCTCGGGAACATGGTGATTGCTCAGGGTGACAGCGCTGTAAAACTCAGGTGCTGTGAATGATGTGACCCTACGTTCGATACATCGGAAAGGATACCAGAGCAAGCTCTTGTTGTTTATATAAAGGGCGGACGATGTTTCTTCTGAGGTTTGCTTCACTGCGGGAGATCGCCATGATGAGCAAACCACGACGGACCATAGTATGACCATAGACGCTCTGACGCCGTCGTAATTTGTATGAATTTTAACAGTTATACTATAATAATGAGTTTGACTATATTTTCATCATTCATGTTTTGTTTCTGTTTGTCACCAAACTATATCTGCTATACGTATGTTAGCTGTGTTTGAGTTTTATTATCGTACGTAAACTAATTGATCTAATTGAGCGCCAAAACTTTCAAAACTCGGAGAGTCCATTTCTTCTTCTCTTTGGTGATTTTAGTCTTTGCTAAAGTTATAATAACGTCTATCAAGGCGCTTGGCATGTTCACAAACCCTTGCTTGGTTCTTCTGTTGCTACTTGCCAGCCCTCTTAGCAAAAAAGCTAAAGAGGAATTCGGAAAATGGTCAGACATTGTGCAAATCGGCAGATGACGTGACAGCTTTAGCCCAGCTCCGTGTTTTGTAACCTGATAACGCGCTCGTTAAACCGATGATAGCGCGAGTTATATCCGTACTTTATTATGATATAAAACGTGGGGGTAGTTACAAAATGTTTCATTATTACAAGATCCCGCAGAGCAACGACACGGTATCACATTTAAGACTTCATCCAAATAAGATTTTAAAACAATGAAGGTGAAAATGAAACTCTCGAGGGAAAAAAAAAACACAATCTTTCAGCACAGCGGTAGTCTACGACAGACTCGAACCACTGACGACTGAATAATGAAGACTCATTGAGAGAGAATCAAAAACGTAGCAATCCCACCAAAGCCACTCGCTATATATTCAGTCGATCTTCGCGTTATCATTCTAAAATATTGCCTTGTATATCAGGATATAAAATAGATTCTACGTTATTGGATGCTTTCGACAGGAACCTTTATCATTACTGGTATATTATTGTATGTGTTTAGACGTATTTTCGCTCCACTTGTGCCTTGGCGTATATAGCTCAAAAAGTGCTTTAGCAGGCAATAGCTCGGCAAAACGTAAGTAAACTTGCAATTTTCAAATATTCTAAACGTATCCTTTTTGCAGAGCTTAAAATTTACCATTTTTCCAATTTTATATAAACACACGAAGCTTTGAACAGCTTGTAGCTGGCACAGCTGCCATATGAAGCTAGTGTGGCTTACCATTCATATGAGTTTTTTGGATTGGTAGAGCATCGTTGCGCATAATTTGCCTATAGTTTTAGGTTTGATTCACCATAAGCACTCATAATTTTTTGTTTTACTTAACCTCGTGAAAGGTCGAAAAAAATATCTCCTCGATTCGAAATTTGTTTTCATTTGTATTTAAAAGCCCATTCGCGCTTTGTTTTCATAGAAGAATAAATTAAGGATTGACAGTATGACTTGAAATACGGCAAAGAGAAATTATTTATTAATAACGCATCGCCATGACATGTAGCGGTACCAACACAAGGAAACGTCTGATATGCTTTTATTCGGCAGAGTTTGTTCTTAATTGGAAGAAAATACAGTGTTGGGGCTGTGGCTGGTCAGAATCAGCGACGGTTCTTATTTTCATATGACAAGTTTTGAGCCTCTGATTTACATTATGAATTCTTTGGCTGTTCTGTGCTTAGGACTCTGCCATTTGCTCAGCGGAATATCCATTTTACAGCTGGAAAGACAAAACGATTCAAACAAAACAAAGAAACAAGAAATAAAGAAGTAAAATCGAGAACAAGAAAAAACTTTTATCGCAACTGTTTGTTTTGAATACGCATGTATATGTTTGTTTTTCATATTTAACAATTACAGATATGACGGAGATAATTCATAACTTAGCAATTATGTTTTTCATATTTAACAATGAAAGATGGGACGGAGATAATTCGTAACTAAGCAATTAAACCTCTTAGCATTTATGTTTATATCAAATTTCTTTGCTCTTATGCATTCATTTTGCCCTAGGTGGTGTAAACACAGTAATCGTTAATTTTCTAAGGTATGGTCTCGGCCATTTGAGTTAAATGGTAAAACAGGTAAAACTTTTTTTCTGAAATTGTCCAAAACGGTATTGATTTTAAAACTGAAACTGAGCTCGTACTTATTGCTAATCATCATAGTTGCTAAATATGTATAACATCTCCGCAGGCCAGTTGATGTTTATCGAGAAAACAATGAACAAACCCTTAAAAAACCCCTGACAATCAACCATTGCGTATTTTGTTTACATTTCGTTTTTCTAGCAAAGCAAGTTTAGGAGAGATATAATGTATACGAGTATGATAGATTGCTGTCTTATGAAAAATATACCGAAGAAAACTATCGATTGTGGGTGTTATCGCGCAAAAGATATCATTCACCTTTATCTGGCCTTTGTAAAGAAGTCTTCAAACATGGCAAATATATTAGGTTTCTCCACCTCCTGAAAACCGTAAAAGCATAAGCTTTTTGACCTCAATATCAGTATTTCAATTTACCAAATCAATTTGAAATCTTTAATTGATCTCAATTACGAAATTCCCACTGACATTTGTTGAAATTTTCTTTCAATTTCAGTTTTTGTATTCCAAATAATCTGAGTCTCTCGTTACTCACATGATGCGTAATAGTATACCTTTCTCTAGCATTGTTTCATTTTTACACTTTTGCTCTCTTTCAGTGTTTTCGTCATCCCATGTTGTTCATCGTAATAAATCATGAATGACAGCAATGCAACCTCAAAGTTTCTTCAAAAGCACTCCGACTTTGGACTCAAGACCTTGAGTAAATTTCTTCCAATTGCCATAGTAATAGTTCTGGCTAATGGACTCGTGTTTGTCTTGTTTTACCGATGTCGTCGACTTCGCACCTCTTCTAACTACGTACTTCTCAGTTTGGCAATTTGTGACTTCAGTATTGGCGCTATCGCTATTCCATACTTCATTGTTCATAATTTTGGCATTTCGCCGCCACAAATGGATTATGGGGTTTACGCCTCGCATACATTACTAGTTATTTCAGGTGCTTATCACATACTCTTTATTACTGGGCTCAAGTACATGGCAACTGTCAGTCCACTAAAACACCACTTGGTGACCAAGAGCTTGGTTTTGAAAATTGTGTTCGGCATTTGGATCACTTCTACTGTTTTTGCTATCATTCCTGTCGTTTTGCCTAATGCTGAGGTATCTGCACGTTGGGAAGTTATTCATACTGCAGTTTGTCTTGTTGCAGTGTTCCTTTTCCCGTACATATTTATGATTTATGCATACATAGCTATGTTCAGTGCAATTACTAAAAGGCAACGACCATCGTTGATTAAGAATAAAAACTCGCGGGAGCAGAAGAAAAAAAAAAGTGACAGGAAGTGTATCTTGGTTTTCGCAACCATGGCGATCATATTTGCCTGCTGTTGGTTCCCTTATTTTATGGTCATGCTTTTATTCCAAATAGGACTAAAAGATTTGCTTAGCGTCATTGAAGCTGTTATGGTCATTCGATATATCACATCTTTGGCCAACCCTCTTCTCTACACGTTTTTCAAACGCGACTTCTGGTCCGCCTTTCAGAATCTGTTGCAAAACAAGGAAAAGGTCAGTTCTACTTCTAAAAAAAGTCAAACAGGGTCTCTTAGTCTCATGAGCCGACTAAGATCCAGATCAAGCGTCAACAGCACAAGGTTAACGACGCTCGAAGGAGAAGGACAAGAACCGAGAATGATTCCCAATAGGAACGTGACCTTTGGGGAAGAGACATTTCTTACAAGCTGTGTTTAACTGCTTGCAGGTGATGGACACTCCACTGAGAAAGGTTTTTTTTTGCCTAAGAAAACAGCACAAAGTCATAGATAAGTTGGACTGAACACTCCGCGGGTATTGGATTGAGTTTAGCTCATTAAACCAATCACATTGCAAAAATAGGATCGGCGTAGCACCTCAAAAGCACGTACAATTTATTTACCAGTGATAGAGCATTCTTTTAACATTACTTTTTTTGTTTGGTATATTATTATTTTCTTTAAGTGATACAGAATTTACTGACGTATTGCACCACAACTCAAAAGCATTTTATTAATAGGTATAGGCTCGCTAATTTTAGTCTTTTACATGTTTTGTGAAAAGTTATAGTAATCGTTTGAAATTAGATTTAAAATAGGTAGTCTTATGCAGGTGAGTTTTGAACTGTTTTCATGGGTGGTAAAGAATTTGACGATTGACAGCGCCATTTTGAATCGTGTTTAAAAACTTAGCCTCTTTACTGTGAGGAAATGAGTCCCACCCTGCATTTTCCCGTCTCTTAGCGATTTGTTTGAATAATTAGGAAATGGAAACTCAATACAAAGAATGGTTTTTGACGATAACTAGAGCAGGGTCTATTTGTGAGCTGACGTTGTGGTTTTTCTTTTTGGCCAATTTTTTTTAAAATGGCGGCGTCGAGTTTTAGGCATTTTTGAGCGCACAATTCTTTTCCAAAGCTCAAGTTTTTCCTTAGAAACCTAATACGCGGTGAGTGGTAAATTTTTCCACTGTGTACAAAAGGAGCGGAAAAATATGGTCTTTCTAATTGCTCCTTTTTTTGCTCCTTTTTTTATGATGAGTAGTGTGCAACTAATAATTTTATTTTCCAACTGCATAAAGTAGAGTACATATAACGCGCGATTAGATTATAATTATCCCGCGATATTATACGGTTACTTGGACAATTAGTTATTTTGTACTGTTTAAAAAAAAACTGTTTGATAAGTTTGGTAGACTTGCCTTCTCTGGTGCCGTATTTAACAGCTGTACCATTCTTGGTTCATAGCCCTCAGCTCCTCAAGTAAAGGCAGTGATTCTTGCGAAGCGTCGTCGGCATGTGATTGAGTCGGACGATAAAAAATGAGATGTAGTTTTGGAAATTCTCTTTTTGTAGGCTTAGAGCTCATACATGTCTTTGAGAGTTTGTCTCCTGGTAGATTCAAAGCTTTGTTACTTGTGGTAAATTATTCATCACTTTTCATCGATAAACGAACACTTTTCTTCTTGCAGTACTTTCAAATGTGCACGAGTTGAGAACAACGATCGAAAATAAAATTCAACTTTGAATCGTTTTGAAACCCTATGTGACAAGTTGACGTCTCATGGGCCAATCCGACGCGAGCATTAGGCAAGACCTGTCACAAACCGCTCCTTTGTTTGTTCCGCTTTTCCCGCCTTATGAGAATTGCATAAAAATTAAAGCAGTTGGATAATAAATATCTTATGAGACGTTTTGGTGCGCAGTATCACTGAGTATTTTAGTCGTTTTTTGTATTTTGACTCGCCCTGCGGAATAGTAAAAAAAAAAGCACAACTCGTGAAATTACTCAGCGATACTACACACAAATACGTCTAAAAATATATATTTATTCTTGAATAATCTTACTGAAACGAAAGCAAAGTTCCTGGACAGTTAGTCGAGATACCAGAGCTGTCTGGATTTTAAAAGCTTGTGATTAAAAGATTTACTATGAGATTTGTATGAATTACTTATAACCAGTTTACGTAGCATGCTTTATATGTATTGGATAATTGGACCTTTGTAAAGTATATCGAATTTATTGTAGGTATGATTAACACAGAGAACTGCAAAGCTGTTCAAAAAGCACTTTCTGTTGTTTAATTTTCCTTTCTAATGACTTAATCATAATAATAGGTAAAATGGTAGTATCAATAAAATTAATATAATTGATGATGCTGATAACACGCAATTATTGGATAAGGTTGAGCATTATATTTGACAGTTATTCGAAGAGTGTGCGTTGAACATGAGATGGTTCAAAAAAGGCGTGTCGCGCCGAGTTTCAGTTTTTGGCCTTTTCAATTTTTGGCAAAATGCAAAAAACCATTACAGCCAATATTCAGCCATGTCAACCTCGCACTTGATCAATATCGCATCTATATCATGTGATAACCGAATTAGACCATTGTTTTTGGCAAAACAAGACTTTTCTTTCTGAGTTTGCAAATGTCTGATCTAATCTAATTTAACCATAGTTTGTGATGACGTATAGAGTAATTACTCCAGAAATATCAGAGGATCTCAGTGGGTGATGGCTTTTACGGCTCACGAAAAAAAAATTGGCCATTTTACGACCAGCTGTCCAAATCAGACAAACTTACACATTCCAGAAAGGAAACATTACGGTTATCTTTTGTTACGAATAACGGTTAAAAAGGTTTTTGGCCTTTTCACGGCAAATAGTTAACCCAATTGAGACACTTATCACTCGGTTGTTTCACTTGGCTCACAAGTAAATGTTTCTTACTCACGATATAGACGATGTTTACTGGTGCTGGGAGACTTTATATAACCAGGTGTTAGATGACCATGCACCAATGCGATCTTTCAAACGACGATCTTCAGTAGAATCGAAGTTTATCACTCCTGAAATTCGGAGAGAAATGGTGGAACGAAAACGGCTTAAGAAAAAATTTAATAGATCACGTAATCAGTGTGATTGGGAGAGCTACCGTATAGTGCGCAACAAAGTAGTTAGCATGAGAAGAAAATCTATACGTAGACATTTTGAGAAGCTGTGTTCGGACAAATATGCAGATCAAAAGAAGTTTTGGCGTGCCATCAAGCCTTATGTTAATTCCCGAAAGAATGTAGACAATAGCGGAATAACATTAAAGGAGGGTGACAGAATCATCAGGAATCCTCAAGAGGTGACCGAATTAAATAATTTCTTCACAAGCTGCACTCAAAGTGCCAAAGAACGAAATCAAAATGGCTATCCAGTAGATTTATCCATAGTTAGTCCCCTCTACTAACTATGATTTATCGCACATATCAAATAACTTAATAAGCAGGCCGAATGTATCGCTAAGCAACACTAATCCAACAGAAGTTTACGAGGTAATGAGGAAACTTGCTCCAAACAAGGCTTCTGAATGTGATGGGATCCCTCCACTAGCAGTTAAAGAATCGATGGATGTCTTATGCTTCCCTCTCAGTACACTGATAAATCATGTTTTAACTTCAACTAAAATACCACAACAGTGGAAACTTGGCGAGGTCACTCCAATTCTCAAAAAATACTGCAGCCTATTAAAAACTAACTATCGGCCGATAACGATTCTGCCAGCTATATCGAAGGTTTTCGAAAAAATTGTTCATTGCCGAATAAGCCCGTATTTTGAAGAAATCTATCACAAATATGTGTTTGCTTATAGGAAATATCACGGCTGCGACTCAGCACTTCTTAGTCTAACCGAACAATGGAAAAAGAAATTGATAACAATAAATTGATCGGTCTGGTCTCCATGGACTTGTCCAAGGCTTTCGACACCTTACCTCATGAACTGATTGTTTTGAAATTAAAAGAATATGGAGCAGATGAAGCAACAACCTCCCTGATAAAAGATTATTTATCAAATCGATTCCAAAGGGTGAGACTGGGGGATACGCTTTTCAATTGGCAACCTATATGCAATGGTGTACCACAGGGATCCATCCTCGGCCCTTTATTATTCAACATCTTCATGAATGATCTTTCATATGTCATCAAGAAGTGCACTCTGTCCACTTACACTGATGACACTCAAATCTTTTACGCCGACAATCAACTCTCCAAAGTTGAAGAAACAATCAACAATGATCTTATTAGTGCTGATATATGACTGCCGTAATAGATCATATACCAGTAAAAACAATTCACGACACTAACTCTCCCCCTTGGATAGACGGGGAAGTCCGGCATCTGATTCGAAAGAAGTATGCAGCTTTGAAAAAATTTCGTCAGAACAAGACCCCTGAACGCAAACAAAAATTGCGAATATTGAGTCAAAATATTAAGTACGTAATTCGCGCTAAACATCGGCAGTACTTAGCGCAAATTGAGCAGTCGTTTAAGGACAACCCAAAGAAATTTTGGAGCTACCACAAAGCGATTTTAGGTGGTCGGTCTGGCACAAGCCCGGTGATATCATACAACGGTGTGTCTGCAAAGGAACCAGCACAAAAAGCAGACCTCTTCAATAAATATTTCTGTTCTGTTTTCCTTCCAGCAGCCTCCGATGTAAACAGACCTCAAATTAACATACCATTGAGAACTGATATGGAAATCTCGCAAATAGAAATATCAATAGAAGAGGTGAGAGAGCACTTGAATGGGCTAGACATCTCAAAAGCCAGTGGTCCTGATGGCATCCCAGCGAGACTGCTCAAACAATGTAGCGAACAAATAGCACCAAGTCTCTGCGCTATTTTTAACAATTCACTTAAAAGCGGCAAAATTCCAAGTGAGTGGAAATCGGCGGACATAACTCCAATTCACAAGAAAGACTCAAAAGAACCCGCCGACAACTATAGACCTATTTCGCTCATTCCCATTGTAAGCAAAATACAGGAACGCTGCGTGTTTAATCACCTTTATGAGCACGTCATACATCTGATCACCCTCTTACAGCACGGGTTTCTACGAAATCGATCGTGTGTCACACAATTACTGTCTGTTCTACACACCATAGGACAGTACCTGGATAAAAATGTACAGACGGACGTGATCTATTTGGATCTCGCTAAAGCGTTTGACACGGTGGACCATTGTATTCTCCTGTCTAAGTTAAGGGCCTACGGCGTTTCGGGGCAGCTACTAGCCTGGTTTTCAGACTATCTAAACGAGCGCGTCCAACGTGTAGTTGTTGATGGTGCTGTCTCGCAATGGGCACCAGTCACTTCCGGTGTCCCTCAGGGGAGTCTGTTGGGACCCCTGCTCTTCACGATCTTTATAAACGACCTGCCTGATGCAACT